ATAGCAATATCACTGTGTTAAACTATAGTTTAGTTATTTTTACTGTGTTTAACAGTAATATAGTTAATATTACTGTCATTCAAAGCAATATTGTTGTTTAAACGGAAAAAAAAGTTACAGAAAAAAAAATTAAAAAAAAAATAAAAAAAAAATAAAAAAAAGTCAACGCCGGAGACCGGTGTTTACCGCCGGTCAACGCCGGAATCCGGAAAAAAAATCCGAAAGAAAAAAAAATAAAAAAATAAATAAATAAATAAATTAAAAGTCAACGCCGGAGACCGGCGTTGACCGCCGGTCAAGGCCGGAATCCGGAAAAAAAAATCCGGAAGAAGAAAAAAAAAAAAAAAAAAAAAAAGTCAACGCCGGAGACCGGCGTTGACCGCCGGTCAATGCCGGAATCCGGCGGGAAAAAAAAGTTTTTGAAAAAAAAAAATTGTGAAAAAAAAAAAGTTTTGGGTCAAAATTGAATAATTTGTGAAATTTGGGGTCAAATTGAAGTTAAATTAAGTTAAGGATGAAATTGGAGCATATAAAAGTAAGAGGGGTTATTTTAGTCCTTTACATAAATCTGGACCATGTGTGGACTTATTGGTAAAGGAGAATATTGTCTGGATCTCTTTATGAATAAGTTCCCACTGATGGGCTTATTTGTAATATGCCCTTGTTTGATTACTAACAGTTAGGGGTGCAAGTTGGAATGGAAATTCCAATTTCCGTCGGTTTCGATCCGAAAAGTTCCGATTTTGGAACAACTTTTTTCATTCCGATTTCCGAAATTCCGATTTCCGAATTTTTCCGATTTTTTTGGATTGGAATTGGAATTATATAAAATAAATTTGGAATTTCCGATTTCCGATCCGATTTGATTCCAAAATTAATTCCGAAAAATTCCGATATTTTTCCGAAAAATACATCTATAAGGAATAAATATTATATATTACTTATCTTTCCGAAAAATACACCTTTAAGATTTGTTTTAGGATTTTTACATAATGAATTGTTGTTAGAAGTTTGATTAAATATTATGTTGTGTTTATGTTTATTTATTTTTTGAACTGAAATTTAGTAGTTATTAGTTTTACTTTTATCGACGTGAATGTTCTTATTTTTGGAAAATTATGAACATTTTAAAAAATTCCGCTAAGTTTTGAAATTTTTAAGCTCATGTGATTATCCGATTTTTTTCCGAAATTCCGAAAATTCCGGGACTTTTGGAATTGGAATGAATTTTTAGATTCCGAAAATTTTGGAATTGGA